GGTCAGGAAGCAGCACCAGTTCCCCAGGTGTCTGGGGACCCAAGACCAGGAATGGCGTAGGGCCCAAACCAGGAGCAGAGAACAGCGGCGGAGATGGAAGGGCGAATGAGGCCGGGGGGAGTCGATGCGCGGAGGGTTCCGCGCTGGACCCACCCCGAGAGGCCTGAGGATAGGGTAGAAGGCCAGGAGAGTTAGCGGGTGGTGCAGGTCCGGGGAAGCAGAGAGAGGTGAGGGCGGGGCCGGGTCCGGAGGCAGTGCTCCTGGGGCCCAAGGAAGGCACCAAGCTGGTGGGGGTGAACAGGGTCAGGAATCAGCAATGGCTCCCCAGGTGTCTGTGGCCCTAAGACTAGGAATGGCACAGGGCCCAAGCTAGGAGTAGAGAACAGCCAGGGAGATGGAAGGGTGAGCGCGGCTGGTGGAGTCAAGGTGCGGAGGGCTGTACGGTAGACTTACCCCCAGAGAGGCCTGAGGGCGGGAGAGCGGGCCAGGAGAGTTAGCCAGTGGTGCAGGTTGGGAAGCAGGGAGAGGTGCAGGCGGGGCCAGGTTCCCTGGAAGCTGTGCTCCTGGGGCCCAAGGAAGGCACCAAGCTGGCCTGGTCGAAAACGATCAGGAAGCAGCACCAGTTCCCCAGGTGTCTGGGGACCCAAGACCAGGAATGACGCAGGGCCCAAACCAGGAGCAGAGAACAGCGGTGGAGATGGAAGGGCGAATGAGGCCGTGCGATTTGTTGATTTTTATTTTATGTGTATGAGCCTTTTGCTTATATGTATATAAGTGCACCTATACATGCCATGCCTCTGGAGACCAGAAGAGGGTATCAAGCTTCCTGGAACTGAAGTTACTTGTGTTCCAGTTGTTAGCCACCATATGTGCTAAGAACTGATCCCAGGTCTTCTGGAAGAGTACCCAGTGCCCTTAACTGCTAAGCCATCTCTCCAGCCCCTCATTTACCATTTCAAGACAGTAATCTACCTCATTCTTCCAAATGGCTGCACAGTTCCCCTTTATATAGGTGCACAGTTCCCCTTTATATGGGTAGAGCATAAACATAATCTTTTTTTAAGATATTTGGGGGGGGTTGTTTGTTTTTTTGTGTGTGTATGTGTGTTTTTGATCTATCTGAGACTGGGTCTTCCTGCAGCCCCAGCAGGCCTGGAACTCACTATGTAGACTAGGCTGGCTTTGAACTCACAAAGATACACCTGCCTCTGCCTCCCGAGTGCTGGAATTAAAGACATACGCTACCATGCCCTGCTAAGATAATTCGTTTTATTTTTAGTCATATATATATCAGTATGGCTGTGTGTGGATTTCTTTCTTACACACATAAGTGCAGTGCTCTTGAGCTGCCCAACATGGGCACTGGGAACCAAGCTCTAGTCCTCTGAAAATACTCTTGAACACTGAGCCATCTCTTCAGCTCTCCCCCAATAAGCGTAAATTAACCAACATCTTTTCAGTGAGCATTGGATTATAGTATAATTCTGATAGCCATTCAAATGGGATAACTGAACAAGAGTTTCTGTCTCTCCTCATCTTTACCAATGCTCATTTAATTATCATACACATAGGAAACTCGAATAGTACAGTAAACACTTATGTATTGAGGACCTAGATTTAATGATTGATATTTAAACAATTCTTGCTTGTTACATACCTAGTCAGTGTATATACCTTGTCACATACCTAGTACAGTGAACACTTACATATTGAGCACCTAGATTTAATGATTGACATTTTAACAATTCTTGCTTGTTACATACCTAATCAGTGTATATTTTTCAAATATGAACTAACATTTTTCCTGTGCATATTAACCATTTAAAAAATGCCTTATATTAATTTTCCTTTTGGTTGGTAGTTATTTCTCATACTGATTTGTAAAAACTCTTCAGTTAGCCGGGCGTGGTGGCGCACAACTTTGATCGGCGGATCTCTGTGAGTTCAAGGCCAGCCTGGTCTACATAGTGAGTTCCAGGACAGCTGGGGCTACAGGAAGACCCTGTCTGAAAAAGACCAAAATAAAACTCTTAAGTTAATGAAGAAATTAATTTTATCTGTGAGTGCAAATATGTTTTCCTAGTTTGTCTTTTGACACTCCCTTCCCCCACCCCTGAGTGCTAGAGATCAAACCTCATGTATGCTAAGCAAACACTTTTACCACTGAGCTGTATCCCTCAACTTCATCTTGTTGGTTTTTGGTTTTTCCTTGTAGACACTGAAATATGTAGGTCAAGAAAGAGGTCTTGATTACTTCTGTATCTTTTCTACTAAATCTCATATACATACAGGTGTTAATAGCATTTTATCTCATATACGTACAGGTGTTAATCTCATAAACATACAGGTGTTAATAGCATTTCATGCTTGTATAAAGACAGTCTGTTCTAATCATTAGATTAGAATGTCTGATGTGGGGTTTTCTTTTTTATTGTTTTTATTGTGTATTTAAATCCCAAATACTGATAAGTAATATTTCTGAAGGACCTCATTGTAGAATGATTTTATCTAGTATTTTTTTTTAATTCTGGATGCGCACCATGAGTATGAGCTGATTTGCAGCAATGCTTTCTTTTTACTTGTGTAAGCTTATTTCGTTCCTGGAAAATAGATGTTGGGGCATTAGATTTTGAAACTCTTAAAATGTAGCAGTATTTTTACATTTCTGATATCTTAGGGTTATATAGTTGTATATACTTTTTAAAGCCTGTTTATATGTATCTTATTTCCTTTACTATGTACAAGTATATAGGGTAGGAGTTATTCAATTTACTGCATTAGGAACTGGTACTGGAAAGATCTGGCTAAGGTTAATAACAGTATGAGATCCAGAAACTTGACTTCTTTCTGTGTATGATCTCTTTTTCAGTATTTTACTCTTTGTCAATTTGTAGGACATGACCTAGTCTGCATATCAGAATGATCTAAATAAGTGAGCTATTACTCTCACTAATAACATTTGTTAGTTTTGAAAATAACATGTGTGTTATACAGTATAGATAAACCAAAGCCTAAATTAATTTCAGGCTTAATTGTTTAAATAAAGAGAATTGGGGGCAGGGTGTTTTCCTTGGTTTTAAAATGTGTATTAGGGTTGATTGGGAAAAATAATCCCCCAAATACAACTGTTCACCACCATGGTAGATGTTATTTCAAGTGGTCAGGGTGTTCTTTGTCATTCTGGACTGATGCCCAGGCTGAAAAGAGCTCTTTAGTTTCAGCACATTGTTTGACAGCTGCAGAGAGGAATGTCTGCAGCACAATAGGCCAAAAGCAAGAAAGAATATGTGAGCATGTGTGACTTGCCTGGTCATGGAGCACATCATTTTTTTATCACATTCTGTTAGCTACAGGTCAGTTAGATGGCCTTTCCTAAATGCAGAAGATGCTTGGAGATATAATTACGCTTTGTGCCCAGAGAAGAACAAATTTGGGGATATTCTACTGAATGTGCCTATTGTTTTAAGGTTTTCTTAAGAATAAACAGATCAGTATTTTATATTCTGACATCGTAACTTGTAATATTCCTCCCAATTTAGGAATTACACTGTCAGAATATTTCCGTGACATGGGCTACCACGTCAGTATGATGGCTGATTCTACCTCTAGATGGGCTGAGGCCCTCAGAGAAATCTCTGGTCGCTTAGCAGAAATGCCTGCTGGTAAGTCTTCATATTGCTTGTCACTGCTAGAATTTTAAGGGCTGGCCTAGAACCCCTTTTTAAACTTTTCTTTTTGTTTTTCAGATAGTGGATATCCTGCATATCTTGGTGCCCGTCTGGCCTCTTTCTATGAGCGAGCAGGTAGAGTTAAATGTCTTGGAAACCCTGAAAGAGAAGGGAGCGTCAGCATCGTCGGAGCGTAAGCAGCCAAAGTGTCTACTTTCATTTATTTATTTATTCATTCATTTAATGGAGACTACGTCTTGCTATGCAGCCCAGGCTAACCTGGGACAAGCTGTCTGCTAACCAAATGCTGGAGCTACAGGCATGTACCACTGTGTCCCGTCTATTCCAGTTTCTTCTCAAAAGATAAAAAAAACCTGCTTATTTTAGAGAGAGGGGCTAGGGAAATAGCTCAGTTTGTAAAGTGGTTACTACATAAGCATGAGGACTTGAGATTGATCCCTAGACCCCACATTTTAAAAAGCCATGTGTGGTGATACGTGCTTATAATCCCAGTACTCGGGCTTGCTGACCAGTTAGCCTAGCTGACTTGGTGAGCTCCAAAGTGAGAGACCCTGTCTCCTGAGAAATAATACCTGAAGTTGTCCTCTGACCTGCACTTACACACAGGAAGGCATACACAGATATACCCCCATACATGCACGGAAGAGCGAGAGAATACTTAACTTCCTCTGGGAGTGCTGTTTCTAGAGCATGGTTGCACTCCATAGTCTCTCAGGGAGCTTCAAAAGCACTTTGTGAAGAGACATAGGCCATCTTTGCATTTTGGGTTTTTATTGGTGTGAATTCTCTGGTTTACTAGATTCAAGTCATAGTCCTAGAAGTAACTTTGAAATTACAGATGTTAAGGTGAGATTATATCATGGTAAAGACAAAGATTTGAGGGCTGGAGAGCTGAGCTGGCTCAGCGGTTAAGAACATTGACTGTTCTTGCAGAAGACCTGGGTTCGAATCCCAGCACCCACATGGCAGCTAACAACTGTCCATAACTCCAGTTCCAGGGATCCAACAGCCTCTTCTGTCCTCTGCGGGCATTGCACAACACAGGTACACTTACTTACAAGCGAGTATAACACCCTTAACACATAAAATAAAAATAATAAAATATATTTTTTTAAAAAAAGACAAAGAATTGTGATTATTACATAAAGCCATACTTTATTCTCAAAGCTTTAGAGCTTTCCTTCCTATTTCATCTATTTGATGAGAATGTGAAGCATTATAATAAAAGATTTATTTCATTTCTCATAGTCTATGACATTCAATAATTGTCATTCTTATTTGCAATTTTTTACTGGCTTTAAGATTTTTACATAAGATTTTTCTTTCTAAGGATCATTTACTTCTAAAGTTATCAGAGTTGGGATGGGAGGTAGGGAGATGACTCAGTACGCAAAGCACTTTCCACATAGCATGGGAACCTGACATTGAACTCCCAGAGCTCACTTAAAGCAGAATGTGGTAATGTAATTCTTTGATCCCAGCACCCCTACAGCAAGATGAAAGGCAGAGACAGAAGAATCCCCAGAAACTTACAAGCCAGCTAGCCTGCATATGCAGCGACAAACAAGAAACCCCTTCTGAAACAAGGTAGAAGATGAGGACCAACACCAAGGTTGTTCTGACCTTCACATGAGCACTGTGGCACCTAGGCACCCATACCCACACCCACAACCATGGACACAGGAAGATTTTCTTTTTTTAAAATCAGGGCTGGGGTTATAGTGTACTGATAGCACCATATGCTTGCATGTATAGCGCTTTGGATTTGTTCCTAACATGAAAACAAACAAGTTATTTATGTTAACTTTTTAAAAAATTGGCTTTTATATATGTTTTCATAAGCATGTTAATGTGTTTATTTTATTGACTTTCATAAGCCAGGTATGGTGGCACATGCCTGTAGTTCCAGCCCTCGGGAGGCAGAGGCAGGTAGACCTCTGTGAGATCAAGGGCAGCCTACATAGTGAGTTCCAGGCCAGCTGGGGCTACAGGAAGACCCTGTCTCGTAAAGACCAAAAAGAAAAAAAAATTGATTTATAAGATTATTTTTCATAAACATTTCTAATTATATTATTTTGTTTCTAATCTAGGGTTTCCCCACCTGGTGGTGATTTTTCTGATCCAGTTACATCTGCTACTTTAGGCATTGTTCAGGTATGTCCTTCCTAGCGTCTCCCCGCCATACCCCTGGTTTTTGTTGTTGTTGTTGTTTTTGGTCTTTTTGAGACAGGGTCTCCCTGTAGCCTCATCTGGCCTGGAACTTGCTATGCTCCACGTCTCATACTGGGCATACCCCAGTTTTTGTTATCTAAATCATCATGAAGTATTTAATTTATTCACTAAAGAATTGGCAGCAATAAAGTATGCTTTAATAGTTTCCTTAACACTGGGAAAGTTTATAATAAATATAACATAGCCAGGAAATACATCCAGGTGACAGAGCTTTATTCATGTTAGAGTTTTCCTACCCTTTAAGCCAAAGTAACCCTAACTATAAACTAAACAGACCCCAGACCATTAATAGAAAAAAAAAAAAAAAAAAAAAAAAAAAAAAAAAAAAAAAAAAAAAAGAAAGAAAGAAAAAGAAAAAAAATCCAATAATCCCATCAGAAAGTGGCTCCCTTCAGTCATGATGGAATCCCAGGCTCTGCCTCTCAGTGGTTTTCTCATCACCTCATTTGGTAGTTGTCTGAAGGGAAAACAGTGGAGAAGGCAAATCCATGTTTTGAAGCCTGGCTCCAAAGTGACAGTCATTCCGTTTATTCTATTAACTAGACCAAGTGAAAGCAAGACTAGACAATGTGCTTTCTGCCTAGGTAGTAGTTTACCTGTGTAAGGGCATGAATTTTAATGAATAGCTAGCCATAAAAAGAAACCTAAGTAAGGGGCTGGAGAGATGGCTCAGCAGCCTCTTCTGACCTCCCCAGGCATTGCATGACACAGGTGCACTTACCTACATGCAGGCAATACACGCATACACATAAAATAAAAATAATAAATTTTAAAAAAAGAAACCTAAGTAAAAGATGTAAGTCTCTGTATTTCATTTGGGAAAAAATATTTACCTGTGATTCTATGTCTGAAATGGCAGAGGCTAAATTTATAGCTCTCAAAGTATTTAATATTTGCTTAAATTTTGAATTTTAAATTCTGTGGGGAGGTGGAACAAAGTTAAAAATGCAGAAAACTATCTGTGAATGTTTGGTTTCAGAAAATGAATGTGAGATATTATGAAATTGGCCATAATGATAGGGAACTGAATTTCGTCAGAACATTTAGAGGTTTTTGATCAAGGTGTCTGTTCCATCTCAATAAGCCCTGAAAATGAGAAAATGTTTTTAGTTAAGATTTTTTGCACATGTTATTCTATTTCAGGCATACTAAAAAAATGCATAGTTGGTCCAAGAAGCCAAAAGGCACATATTGAGAACAGATATACCCAATACTTAACAAAAGAAAAGTTGTGGGGCTGGAGAGATGGTTCAGCAGTTAAGAGTACCTACTATTCTTCCAGAGGACCTAGGCTCAATTTCCAGCACCCATGGGTGACTCACAACTTCCTGTAGCTCCAGCTCTAGGAGATCTGACCCCCCTCTCTGGCTTCCACAGCCTCTGCAGTTATGTGCACATACACATAATTAAAAATAAAGTCAATCTTTTTTTTAAAGTTATTTAATTTTTTTTCAATCAGGTGTTCTGGGGCTTAGATAAGAAACTAGCTCAACGTAAGCACTTCCCCTCTGTCAATTGGCTTATCAGCTACAGCAAGTACATGCGTGCCTTGGATGAGTACTATGACAAACACTTCACAGAGTTTGTTCCTCTGAGGACCAAAGCTAAGGAAATTCTGCAGGAAGAAGAAGATCTGGCAGAAATTGTACAGCTTGTGGGAAAGGTGAGTTAGATCTGTGATTACATTGGAATGATATAAGACTTGCTAAAAGTTAGATATGTAAATTCCTGCCTAGCAAAATTAATAAATACTAAGTTTGAATTAAATTTTTAAATATAAAGCTGGGTGTAGTAGCTTGTGCCTGTAATCTCAGCACTCGGGATACAGAGATGACATAGGATTGTCATTTTGAGGCCAGTCTACGCTATCTGGTAAGTTCTAGGCTAGTCTGGGCTGTAAGTATGATAGACTGCCTCAAAAAACAACAAACAAAAACATTACATGTGAAAACTAGTTGAAGTTTTTAAATTCTGTATAGTATTAGCATGGTACTAGGTTTATCATAAGTGAAAAAGAACCACTTTAGTTTGTTTCTTCAAATGGAAATGTATTCATCACCAGTAAAATTACATGTAAAATTAGGAACAGTTAACATACCTTTTTATAGGAGCATGAGGGCCTTGGAATCAAAGGACCAGATTCTTGTTCCTCTGATAATTAGCAATGAGACCTTCAATAAGTGACTTAGATTTTTATTCTTATATCTGGATGTTTCCAAAATAGATGTAAATAAATTTAGTCAAATTAAATATCAGAATTGAATGACTTCTTTGATTGTATACTGAATTAGTCAAGACTCAGAGTTCTCTGTCATTTATAGGCAGGTTCTTATTATATAGCCCCAGACTGGCTTCAGACTTGTAATTCTCCTGTTTCTGCCTCCCAAGTACTGGGATTACAGATATGTATTATTGTGCCAGGGTCTGTAATTTTTTATTATATCTGATGAAGTCATTTCCTAATTTTTTTCTAACAATATTACTAAATAGCTAACATCTACAGTATATATTACTGAGTATTATGATCCTCCCAGAGAAGCAAGAATCAGACCTGCAAGATCAGGTCAAGATAAAGGCAATACAAGAAACAAGAGGTGCATTTTGTTTATGAATATAGGCATAAAAATATTAAATATTTATTTTTAAGACCCAGAAGGGCATTAAAAATAAAAAATTATTAATAAGCAAAGTTAGCAAGTATGACACAGAAAATGTATCATTTGGGTCTAGAGTGACAACTTGCTCAGTAAAGTGCTTGTTGCACAAGCACGAGCACCTCCGTTCAGATCCCCAACACCCATGTAAAAATCTGGGTGTGGTGGTACACACCTGTAAGTCCAGCACTGGGGAGGTAGAGACAGGAGGATGCCTAGGGGGCTTGCTGGCCAACCCCCAGTGAGTCAGTGACAGACCCTGTCTCAAAACAGGGAGAGAGCAGTTGAAGAAGAGACCCATATCAGTTTCTGGCTTCCACACATGCATGTAAACTTGTGCACAAACATGTATGCATGCACATATTCAAAACAAATGCATTATAATTTGCCAGTGTAATGTAATTGAAATATCTCAACTAATAGGTAAAAATATTTGAAGTTTGATATTGTGATTTTTAAGATCCCTTAAAAAACAAGAAATAGAACTTCATAACTTTGTGAAAAGTAATATAATATGCTACATGTGGTATTGTGTGCCTATAGTACAGTTACTGGGGAATAAAATACTTGAGCCCAAGAGACTAACGCACACAACAGCAAGATCCTATCTTTAAAAAACAAAAAAAAAATAGGCCGGATGTGGTGGCACAAACCTTTAATCCCAGCACTCGGGAGGCAGAGGCAGGCAGATCTTTTGTGAGTTCCAGGCCAGCCTGGTCTATATAGTGAGTTCCAGACCAGCTGGGGCTATAGGGAGATCCTGTCTCAAAAAGACCAAAAAAAAGAAATAGAGGCTGGGGATTGGAGAGATAGCTTTTCAGTTACGAGCACTAACTGCCCTTCCAGGGGATCCCATGCCTTCTTTTGGCTTCCAAGGGCACACACACACACACACACACACACACACACACACACACACAAATAAAAATAAAAGTGAATGTTGGAAACCTCTGCCACCCAGGGTTCAGGAACCGTTGTGGAAGAGGGGGTGGAAAGATTGTAAGAGCCAGGGAACAGTGTTTGCCAGGCGACTGGGAACTAACTTGCTCATATGAACTTATATCAGTGGCAACAACGTGCACAAGATTCACGCAAACTCAAACCAAACAAAAACCCAGCATAGATGTAGAGAAATAGGTAAGAAGCACCAACCTTAGCTAAGGAACTATTGGCACCTGATCACTGCTGGTGAGGGAGAGTTGGTCTTCTTTAAGGAGTGACTCTACATGGGTTGGGCAGTCTCCAGTGGATGAACTCACATTGACGGACAAACGACTCCATGGCTGTTAACATATATGACATATATGCATGAAAACCAGCGGGGGGGTTATGAGGAGGTGCAGATAGGGGAGGGGGTCTAAATATGGTTAAGATGTATTGTACAAAATGCACAAACATTCCATAAAAATTTTAAAAATTAAAGCTATAAATCAACAAAATAAAATGTTGAGAAAAAAAAAAAGGCCTGGAGAAATGGCTCAGTGGGTGAGATCGCTTTGCTGTACAATCATGAAAACCTACAAGCAAATTCCCAGCACCCACGTAAAAAAGCACCTGTAACCTGGCAGTAAGGGGCAGAGACAGGCAGATCCTAGAGTTTACTGGCAGCTAGCCTGCCTCACCAAATTTGAAAGCTTCTGGCTCAGAGAGACCTAGTCTCTAGGTAATAAGGGGGAAGGTGACAGAAGAAGATACCTAATGTCCTCCTGCAGCTTCCATATGGGCAAGTATATCCATATACTCATGAACATAAACACACACACAAACACAAATAAATAAAATATGGATACTATATTAAAACAGAGGGAGCCGTTTTACTTAAAGGAGAATGGAGAAATTTCAGATGGATTTTTTTTAAAAAATCAAGATTAAGACAAGAAAGCCTATTATCAGTGTGTTTGATTGAATATGGAGGTCCTGAATAATAATGTAGGTAAAGAAATAAGGGAAGTTGTAAAAGAAGAAATTAAAATGTAAAACATCATTATCTGAAAACAGTCCACACTTTCAGGTAGGTGCCATTTCAAGGGCCAGTGAGATAACTCCATGGGTAAAGGTGCTTGCCACATAAGCCTGGCAACCTAAATTCAATCCCCAGAATCCACAAAAACGTAGGAAGAAAAAAACTTACTCAACAAAGATGCCCTCTGACCTATACAACACACTTTGTAGCATGCATGCCAACACATGCACACATAATACACACAATAATAATAGTAAATAAAAAGTTTTAAGATACCACTTCTGTTTGAACTATAAAGTCTGTTATTCTAGCTGAATTTTTAGTTAATTTTTTTTTCAGTGCTGGAGATTGTACCCCATGCATGCTAAACAAACACTCTACCACTAAGCTACATCTCAGCCCATTGAATTCATCTCTAGCTGAATCTTACTAGTAAATCAGTAATCATTCTAAAGTTCATTTGCTATCCAAAGATTAAGGCTCTTAAAAAAAAAAAAAAAAAAAACAGGAATAAGGTGCTTTCCCTTTGTTGGAATATATGTGGACCCTTGATATTGCAGAGTGGTTCATAGATCAAGTATGCTGGATAGCTTCAGTTGTCAACCTGGGAAGAGGGAGCTTCAGTTGGGGAATTACTTCTCTCTGATTGGTCTCTGGGTATGTCTGGAGCATTTTCTTGATTGTTGAGTGATGTGGGAGGGCCCAGACCACTGTGAGTAGGACCACCTCTGGGCAGATGGGCCGGGTTATATAAGAAAGCAGACTGAGCACAGGCTAGAGGAGCAAACCATTAAGCAGTCCTCCATAGTTCATACTTCAGTTCCTGCCTCTAGGTTCCTGCCTTGAGTTCATGCCCTGGCCTCCCTCAAGGATGGACTATGCCTCGGAAGAGTAAGATGAAATAAACCCTTTCCTCCACAAGTTGGTTTTTGTCAGTGTTTTATCACAGCAATAGAAAAGCAAACTAGAACATTAAATGAAGGAAATGTGGATTGTTTTAGTCAGCAGTGGAAAACTATTTGTTGTTTGAAGAAAATGAAACTGGATTGTTACCCAGATCCACATATAAAGGTAAACACCAAATAGGTTAAGAATTTAGGTGCAAGAGGGAAGACTTTCATTTTAGTAGAAAACAAATCTTGTGGGCCAGCAAGATGACTCGGCAGGTAAAGGCACTTGCTACCAAGCCTGATGACCTAAGTTCAGTCCCTGGGACCCATATAGAGAAAGGAGAAAATCTACTGAAAGTTGTCCTCTGTCCTCCACATATGTGGCATATGTGTACCTCCCTCCACCTGAAATAAAGAAATGTAATTTTTTTTTTTTTTTTAAGAAAACAAATCTTTGTGATCTAGGATTGGAAAAAGACTTCTCAGACTCTCCTTAGACAGCAGATCAAGAGAAAGCAATTGGAGTTTTTTGATAACATAAAAAGTAAGAGTCTTGGGGCTGGAGAGATGCCTCAGCAGTTAAGAACACTGGTTGTTCTTGCAGAAGACCCGGGTTCGAATCCCAGCACCCACATGGCAGCTAATAACTGTCCCTAACTCCAGTCCCAGGGGATCCGACAGCCTCTTCTGACCTCTGCTGGCACTGCACAACACGGGTGCACTTACCTATATGCAGGCAATACACACATACACATAAAATTAAAAAAAAATATGTATTTTTAAAAAGGTAAGATTCTTACTCAACAAAGGCCTACTCTTAGATAAAAGTAACCAGTTGATAAAATATTGGGAAAGGAAATGTACACTAAATAAAATTGATGGACTGTTACCTAAAATGTAACTGACAAGTAGAACAGACACCAGAGAAGAAAGTAGAAAGATCCAAGCCTATGGATGCAACAATGGCATACCAAGTTACACTGGTTAAAATGGCAAAAAAAAAAAATTGGAAAGCTGAGTGCTTCTAACTGCTGTGGGGATCTGGAACTGGTGTACTCTTGGTAATTGTATCATCTGGAGTGGTCATCATGGACAGAGCTTGCTTGTGTGCCTTGGAGCACTATCATAATTCTCTTTCTGGGTATGTTCTCTAACAAAATTGTCCAAGTCCTCAGCATTTATGATAGTAGAGATTAGGTGAAATACAAGTGCTTTCTACCAGGAACAAAAGGTGGAAGGTAACCCATGGAAGATGCACACACAGAATGGAATTGCCAAGTGTTGAAAGCAGTCAATTATGTGACACAGAGTGGCATGGTGGGTCTTAAAACCAAAATGTCAGAGCTGGAGAGATGATTCAGCAGTTAAGAGCACTGGCTTCTCCTGCAGAGGACCCAGCTTCAGTTCCCCAACACCTATATGGCAGCCAATAACCATCTGTAACTCCAGTTCCAGGGGATCTGATGCTCTTTCCTGACCTCCACAGCCATTGCACAACACAGATGCACTCACATACATGCAGGCAAGACATTCATACACATAAAACAAAAATAACAAAATATTTTTTGAAAATGTCAAAGATATTTGAGAATGCTTTATATAATGAAGAATGGTTGCACAAAATAAAATGTACTTTTTATATAAATTTAAATAAAACACATGAAGCACACTTAGCATTTACCTGTAGTTGAAGAAAGAACTAGAAATGAAAAGGATTTTTAAAAAGAATGAAAAATGAAAGCCCTGAACCTTCCCTAAGGTGCTTAATACACACAGATCATCTAAGAACTCTCAACTCAATGGGCCTGTTCCTTTCTCACAACTCCCAAGAGAGCTCTTGTTAGTGATCCCAACAACAATGGCATTATCTCATGGCAGACAGGGAAGTTGAAAAGTTAGAACATTTGAAGCAGTGATACTTCAAGGTTGAAACTCTATAACTTAGCTTACCAATAAAATAGCACTCAGCCATAGATTAAGTGTATACTTATATCCTTCATAGTTCTAAACATCCTATACTGTTAAAAACAAAGTAACTTAAGAGTTAAGAATACTTCAGAGAATCTGGGTTCCGTTCCCAGCACCCATATCAGGCAGCTCACAGCCACCTCTGTCTTTTTTTAAGACAGGGTCTCCCTGTAGCCGCAGCTGGCCTGGAACTCACTATGTAGACCAGTCTGGCCTCAGAGTTCTGCCTGCCTCTGCCTCCCAAGTGCTGGGATTAAAGGCGTGTGCCACCACGCCCAGCCTTACTCAGCATTTTTTAAGGAAGGAAATCCTGCCACATGGTACAATGCAAATGAACCTTGAAGTTTTAAATGAAATAAGTTAGTCATAAACACAGTGTATGATTTCATTTGACAGGGTATCTAAAATAGTGCAATTGATAGAAACAAAGTAGAGCAGTCATTACCAGTAGCTGGAGAGAGGAGAGAAAAGAGTTGTAGTTTATGGGCTTGAAGTTTCAGATTTGCAAGGTGGGAAAGTCTTGAAACTGTAAAAATGTTTCACAACAATGTAAATATACTTAATACTACTAAACTTTTTTTTTGAGACAGTTCAGACTGGCCCAGAACTCACTTTATAGAGCCTGGACTGGCTTTATACCTAAAGCAGTCCTCCTGTCTCAACCTCCCAGGTACTGAGATTATAGATTTAAGCCACCATTCCCACCTTCTAGGTAATAAATTTTATATTGTGTACTATTTGACCACTATTTAAAAACAAAAAATCAGTGGCATCTATAAAGTGATTTTATTAACACAGTGATTGTGTGGTGATTAGATGATGTCTGCTTGCTAACTGATTGTTACCTTTGGTGCCTAATGATGGAAGACAATATCCAAAACTGTCCTTTTCTTTTCTAGGCTTCTTTAGCAGAAACAGATAAAATCACTCTGGAGGTAGCAAAACTTATCAAAGATGACTTCCTACAACAAAATGGATACACTCCTTATGACCGGTATGCTATGCTGATTTCTTTTTTTCTTTTTCTTTTCTTTTTTTTTTTTTTAATGTGTGTATGAGTGTTTTGCCTCCATGTATGTATGTGTACCACAAGTGTGCCCAGTGCCTGCAGAGGCCAGAGGAGGGCGATGGATCCCCTGGAACTGGAATTACAAACAGTTGTGAGCTGCCATGTGGGTGCTGGGAACTGAACCCGGGTCCTCTGCAAGAGCAGCCAGTGCTCTTAATTGCTGAGCCATCTCTCCAATCCGTTCTGTTGTGTTTTGGCAAAGAAGTAACCTAAGCATAAAACCTTTATCTTATACACTGTGACTCAGTATACTGACTTATTTTGTATATTATGGCAAATACCTAACGATCTATCATGTCCCTTTGTCTTAATTTCTTTATTAATCAAATTATGACGCTACCAAAAGTGGTAGTAGGCATCTGTAATCTGTCTGCTCCTACATTGAGATGGAAGACGAGACAGAGAAAGCCCTGGAAGCTGGCAGGCCAGCTAGTAGCTAGTCTCACATGCACAGTAGTGAACAACAGAAACTGTTTCAAAGAAGGTAGTTAGTAAAGTAGGTGAACACTGACACCCAAGGTTGTCCTTTAACCACACATGACGCTGTAGCATATGTGTTGTCTTCATCACACACATGAAGATGTGCACAACTCAGAAAACTGAGCAATAGAAGGACTAATGAGAATGTAAGGCAAGCCGCAAACATACCAATATGTCAGTAAGCCTCAGAGAAATCTGCTAGGAACTGGACCAAACAACCACCCACATAAAGAAAACGGACAGAATTCTTTGGAAAGACTGCTGTAGGACATATGACATTGAGTATTTGTATATGTGTATATTTGCTTTTGAAAGGTATGAATAGACAAAAATGAACCCATTAAAGGGAACAGAGGGTTGTGGGAGAGAGTATAGCTTAGTCATAAAGAAGTTGCCTGGTATGTTCAAGGCCCTGGGTTCAAACTCCAGCACTAGGAGAGAGAAGGAGGAAGGAAGGGAGAGAGAGAGAGAACAGGGCCATTGTTGTCTTTGGCAACTTTGCAGTTCTCTGCTCTCCTGTTGTTAAGCCTCACCCTGTAATCACAGAGGAATCTTTACAACTCAAGCTATTTTACCTTTGGATACATATTGAACTTCCTTGTACCAAAACAAACTGTTGGCAAATCATTAAATTCTGCCAGTACTGCCTCGTTCTTCCTGTTAATAATCTGTTTTTTGGTTTTTTTTAATACTTTATTTATTTTTATTTTATGAGTTTTATGCCTTCATGTAGGTAAGTGCACCCATGTCATGCAATGCCCACAGAGGACAGAAGAGGCTGTCAGATCCCATAGAACTGGAGTTATGGACAGTTGTTAGCTGCCATGTGGGTCCTGGGATTCAAACCTGGGTGGGTTCAAACTCCAGCACTAGGAGAGAGAAGGAGGAAGGAAGGGAGAGAGAGAGAGAACAGGGCCATTGTTGTCTTTGGCAACTTTGCAGTTCTCTGCTCTCCTGTTGTTAAGCCTCACCCTGTAATCACAGAGGAATCTTTACAACTCAAGCTATTTTACCTTTGGATACATATTGAACTTCCTTGTACCAAAACAAACTGTTGGCAAATCATTAAATTCTGCCAGTACTGCCTCGTTCTTCCTGTTAATAATCTGTTTTTTGGTTTTTTTTAATACTTTATTTATTTTTATTTTATGAGTTTTATGCCTTCATGTAGGTAAGTGCACCCATGTCATGCAATGCCCACAGAGGACAGAAGAGGCTGTCAGATCCCATAGAACTGGAGTTATGGACAGTTGTTAGCTGCCATGTGGGTCCTGGGATTCAAACCTGGGCCTTCTACAAGGACAGTCAGTGTTCTTAACCGCTGGGCCATCTCTCCAGCCCCAATAATCTGTTTTTAACAGAAAAGTCAACACTGCCTATTCAACAGTGTGATTTTCATGTCCATCTATTCCATACATACCGAGGTCTTGCTTTTCTACTATTCTTGTTTCTTTCCTTTGTGTATCATCCAATAAAGAGAAACAGTATACATGTTTAAAGAAGTAAATATGTAATAATTTATTGCTAAAGTTTCATGTACTGAAAGTATACGCTTGCTTTGCAAGTTGTTTTGCTAATTTTTCTCTTCCTTTTTACTAGGTTCTGCCCATTCTACAAGACAGTAGGGATGCTGTCTAACATGATTTCATTTTATGATATGGCCCGTAGAGCTGTCGAAACCACCGCCCAGAGTGACAATAAAATTACATGGTCCATTATCCGTGAGCACATGGGGGAGATCCTCTATAAACTTTCCTCCATGAAATTCAAGGTATATCTTGTTTGGGCTATAGCTTTTGTTAGTAGAAAACCAGTCTGCCTTCCTGTCTCCTTCCCTTCCCTTCCCTTCCCTTCCCTTCCCTCCCTTCCCTTCCCTTCCCTCCCCTCCCCTCCCCTTCCCTTCCCAGCCTGGGATATGAAATTTACAGTATTCTTTATTCTAGTATTTATTTTTATTCTATTTACATGTATATGTGCATTTGTGTGGATGTATACCCTGTGTGTGTGTGGTTCCTCACAGAAGCCAGAGGAGGACATTGGATCCCCTGGAGCTGGAGTTACAGATAGTTGTGAGCTTCCCAACATGGGTGCTGGGAACCTAACTTGGGTCCTCTAGAAAAGCAACAAATGCTCTTAACTTCTGAACCATCTTCCAGTCCCTGAAACTGATATTTTTCATTTTCACACATGCTTATGTTGTATAAATCCAAAACAAGCTTCCAAGTTATGTTCAAGCATAAATTCTATTGATAAAAATTATAGTGTGTCATGTCTGAAATAAATGGTGACGTATTTTCTGTCTTAGCTACTAGGCAGTTCAGAGCTGGCTCCTTTGCTGAGCAGCAGTCACTTCACTTTCAGTGCCTGTTACCATCTAGCCTCCACATTCCTGTTAAATGACGTCTGTTCTTTACTTCTGTTAAATATCTGTTACTTTTTTTTTAAAATAGGTGGTTAAATGAAAGTACCAGTAGAAACTCAAATGTACGACTGTTTTTGTAAAATATTTGGTGCATTGGATTACCTATTGAAAATGATTCTCTGAGTATATTTATACTACAGATTGAAAATGTATGCCTAGGTAATGGTGTTTGCTGCCAAATCTGGCTGCCTGAATTCAGTCCATAAGATCCAGATGGTAGAAGGAAGAACCAGTTCCTCAGAATTTTCCTTTGACTTCCAAATGTGTCCATGCACATACATGTGGAAAATAAATAGATAAATGTATAATTTTTAATTTTTCGAAGAAAATTTAAGCCTGTATAAATAGATACTCATTGTACCAAGAATTTTAAATATTTCATTTATTACTTTTATTTTATGCATATGAGTGTATTTCTTGCATGTATATGAGTGCACCCATGTCATGCAGTACTTGTGGAGGTTAGAAAAGGGGTTCAAATTTCCCTGGAGCTGGAGTTACAGATGGTTGTTAGCTGCCATGTGGGTTCTGGGAATCCAACCCAGATCCTCTGCAAGAGCAGCCATTGTTCTTAATCTCAGAGACATCTCTCCAGTCCCTTTGGGGCCTTTTATTTCCCTGAGATATATGACCAAGGAAATAATCAGAAATTTTTCTTTCTCTTCCTTTTTCTTTTTTAAAATTTAAAACTTTTGCTGTCATGGAAATTAAACTAGTATTCCTACACATTCTAAGCAAGTGTTCTGCCACTGACCTAAATTCCCAGTCCAGTGACTGTTGATATGGGTATATTTTAAAAGTTATTAAATTTTTAAATGTTATCCAAGAATGGTTTCAGTGGTGCGGTATAGTATGTCCTTAAGATAAAATATATGAAGGGTTTTTTTTTTTTTTTGAAAGAATATTCAAAGACAGAGAAATGCTTATTGTAGAGAGGGGAAAAATTGGGCTTTTAAAATTTCCACATGTAACTTGGTATAAACTTTGTCTTTAAAAGTTGCACATTGGGGGACTAGAGAGATAGGTAGCTCAGTGGTTAAGAGCACTGACTATTATTGCAGAGGACCCAAATGTGATTCACAGCACCCACATGGCGACTAACAACCATCCGTAACTCCAGTTCCAAGGGATCCAATGCCCTCTTCTGATCTCTGTGGGCATATGACATGGGTGCATTTAACAAATGCAACACATACATTCATACACATAAAATAAAAATAAAATGTTTTAAATATTTTTAAAGTAAAAATAAATTATTAATAAAAAAATTTTTTGGTCCAATGGGTAAAGGTGCTTGCTACAAGGCTAACCACCTGAGTTCAATCCCCAAGATACGTATAAAACGAGAGGACAGACTCCCAGAAGTTGTCCTCTGAGCTCCACACATGTGTCATGGCACATAAGTGTACACACACATACATACACATACACAAATAAATTAATGTAAAAAATTTACACATTGGTAGGAAGAGTATAAAAATATCTACAGTAGTAATTTCTGGTAGTGTTATTCATTAAAGTGGAAATATTCTAAGCTCATATCAAATTTTAACATCATACGTATGTTTTATGTTACTTGAGAGTCTGCTTTAGAATTATTCAGGACTAGGCAATCTTAGTCACTTGGGAATTTTCTAGTTACCGAGATGAATGACCATGTAGCTGCTCATGTAGTTGATTTTGTGTACTCTTAGTATAGATTACTGAATTATGGAATTATTAAGTCAGAGAGATTGAACTTTTTTAACAGGGTCTCAGCATAGCTCATGCTAACCTTGAGTTTGCTATGTAAGCTGAGGCTGGTCTTTAACTCCAAAATCTCCTGCTTCCACCTCAATTAAGTTTTTTTCCATAAGGATTTTAAAATGTATAATGTCTTCATTTTCAGGATCCACTGAAAGATGGTGAGGCAAAGATCAAGGCTGACTACGCACAACTTCTTGAAGATATGCAGAACGCATTCCGTAGCCTTGAAGATTAGAGCTGTGATTTCTTCTTCCTCAGCAAGCTCATATGTGTATATTTTCCTAAATCTCTCATCTCAAACTCTCTGCCTCCATATTGTGCAGCTTTGAGACTAGTGCCTACGTGTATTATCATTTGTTTTGCTGTTTATTTGGTAGGTCTTATATAAAACAAACATTCCTTTGTTCCAGTGTTTGAAGGGGTGCCCTGACTTTTATCTGAAGTGGTGAATATAGTAAATACGATACATAGTGGCTATACTACTGTAAACTTGTGCATAAGGTGACAACCCTTGTACTCAGTTTGCCCTTTCTTCATCTTGATTAAATCATCAACAGAACTACTGCATGAACTCTTTTGGGAATGAAAAGCCAGATTTCTGTACATTTTGACAGGTACTTTAGGAAATGACTTGGTATGTTTGTAGTAAGGTCACTTGCAGCTTAGTGTTCTGTTGAGTAACTTCTTTGCAGGACATATTTACATTTAAAAACACTGAAGATTACTGTTCTAATTATGCATAAATTCCCTAGTATAAATCAGGAGTATTATGGGAAACTTGGGAAATACATTGTTTTTAAAACAGGTGTTTGTGAGGCCAAGCATAATAGATGTACCAGTTCCCTCTAAAAATGCAGAAATAAAAAAGAGCCAGCTTGTCAAAGTAACATCATCTTGTTAAAGCATATTTTATTTCACTAAGAAAAATTCCAGTATCAATGATTTTTATACATACTCTATTAATTACTAGGAAATTCTTTTTTTTTAAGTACAATGAAAACAATCATTGAAAATGTGATCCTCATCACATCTTTTCTTTTCCTCATGCTTCTTAGGAAGCTAAGCTTCTAAGAGTTATGTGCCAGTGAGATGGGCAGTAGATGGGCAGGGAAGATGGTGGCTTAAGGCAATGTGCCCCTTTAGGAACCAGCTGGACTTGCAGTGATTCTTGGCATCAGAGTGGCATTATGTTTCTACAAGGCAAAGGCATGTGTCTTGTGTTTGCATGTTTGTTTGTTTGCTTGCTTGTTGAATTTTTTAGAACAACCAGTTTACCAGTTGTAGAAAATATTACTTGTGTGTGTGTATGTGTGTGTCTTTTTTTTTTTTTTTTTTTTTTTTTTTTTTTTTACCTCAGAAAGTTTCTCGGTACTCTGAGAAGTCATAGCAGCATGACAGTTTCCATTCTGTTTAGTAAGGATAAAATTAATTCTTATATGTACTGGTCTCAGAAACTTGGTCATGTAAAAAAAAAAAAAAAGAAGAAAAAGAAAATGAAAAGATCAATTTCATCTTGCTATTTCAGTATGTTTAAATAAAAGTTTCTCTGTTTGCATAGTAAGGCCCACTGCAGAAAGCTTGGCAGGCAAGCCCCTCACTCACTCTTCGTGGTTGGCAGTGCTGGCACTGTTGCTTCTTTGGGATCAGGAAACAGTATGTGAACATGCCTAACAGTCTCAAGTACACAAATGTAATAGCATCAATAAAGTATTTATTTTATGCCTCCATATGTTATTTAAATTATTAGACTATGCATTTCTTCTGGTCTGTTCAGGATAGATACAGTCATTAGACAATTCAAATATAGTGTGTGAATGCTTACAGGCTACATATTTTTACACAGTGAGCTGCTATTCTGGAAAGATTCATATAACCTTTTTTTTTTTTAAACTGTTCAACAATGTTGAGAGATACAGATTATAAAATGACTTGTTGAGATGTGGACTTAATGGTGCTGTTTAATCAGTTTGCTTCCAATGTGGCCTCCTACTCAGAGGCCCTGACTAGTGGAATTTCAAAAGATTTCAAAAACTTTCCATTCCTACCTTAAACCTACCAGCAAACTAGGCTTGTGATCATAATGACCGATCCAAAGAAGGTACTTCACCAAGTTTGTTTTTTGTTGTCCTGGATTTGAGGTGTACATTCTTACTCCTTTTAAGAATGTTGATGTATGAGTGTGAAGATGCTAGAGAAATAATGCTCAGATATTCACTGTAATTCTCCCTTCTTCCATATGTTGTAGAGTTTCAGATTGTTCACTGATATTATTTCTTTAGTGAGAATGTGTTAAAATTACAACAATCTTTTAAAAAGATTATGCAGTTCTCTATTTATTGTGCTGTGCCTCATTCTAAGTGCAGCCAGTTAAACAGTTTCATATGTATTTTCCCAATGTTAAATCTCACACATTACACCCTTTGGAAACTTCCTTCCATCCTGAAGAATGAATAGAAGAGTCCATGTAAATTGCCTCCTTATCCTTAAATTTTCACTATCTTTATGTTAAGAGTAACATAATTATTAAAATCTATGAAAAAATAAAGTGGATTTAAATTATCTTGTTCTTCCTTTTTTGGCGGGGGGAGGAGGTATGACAAGATCTCTAAGAAAACATTCCACCTTGTAGTTTACTTCATGAAATTGAACTAGGGCATTCACTACAGTCCGCAACACATCCTATAATCAAATCCCACACTGATTGGAAATACAGTATGTAGAATCTCATCCCATTCTGAGTATTGCCTTAAGTGAGTGGTTTCTCAAAAATCAAAATTAAAGGACATATGGGGCTGGAGAGATGGCTCAGCAGTTAAGAGCACCGACTGTTCTTGTGGAGAACCCAGGTTCGATTCCCAGCACCCACATGGCAGCTAACAACCATCTGTAATTCCAGTTCCAGGGGATCCAACCACCTTCCAATCTCTATGGGCATTGCACAACATGGGTATACTTACATGCAGACAGTATACTCATACACTTAAAATTAAAGGGGAATCTGGGGCTGGGGAGTTAAGAACACTGGTTCTTGCAGAAGACCTGGGTTTGAATCCCAGCACCCACATGGCTGCTAACTAACTCCAGTTCCAGGGGATCTGACAGCCTCTTCTGTCCTCCACGGGCATTGCATGACATGGATGCACTTACCTACACATAGGCAATACACACATACACATAAAAATAATTTTTTTAAAAAGATCTATGGTACTCATTTCAATTTTAGTTCAATTTGAACTAACTTCTTATAACTTTATAATTTTTCAGGACAAATGATTTTAGATATGATACAGCAGTTTAGCATCATCCAGTGTAGCTACCTTGATTTTTCAGGACTCTCTAGAGAATGGAATATAGAGAGAGAAAGGGTTTCATTAGACTGACTTACATGGTTGGAAGCTGGGGAGCCCAACAGTGGACATCTACATGCTCGAGCCAGTGGATCCACCAGTTACTCAGTCCAAGAATCTGGAAGTCTGAGAAAAGGGACTGATGATACAGCAGCCCCAGTCCAAGACTGAAGGCCTAGAAGTTTCCTTGAACGTTCCTATGGAAAGGCCAAAGGCATTGGAGTCAGAAGTCTATAGGTGATGGCAACAGCAAGACCCTCAGTCTGTTAGGTGGTGTCACCCACTTTCAGGGTTGGCCTTTCCTCCTCAGTTCCTATACTAATCATCTCTGGAAACGGCCTCACACAAGAAATGTGCTTTACTAATCTAGGCATCTCTTGAATTTTCTTTGCAACCAATAGCTTGTTTCATTAGGTAGCTGTTCAACATTTTGGAAATTATTTGTTCTTGGAACAGACTGATGGTAGTCAGCCCATACAGTCATAGAATGCATAAGCTGTTGTCTCATCCTCAGTGCTGTAACCAGGTGCATGCAGATGTGTTCAGGTCCCTATGAAAAATAGCAATGACTGGCTGGAGAGATGGATGGCTCAGCGGTTAAGAGCACTGACTGCTCTTGCAGAGGACCCAGGTTCGAGTCCCAGCACCCACATGGTGGCTATGAACCGTCGTTAACTCCAGTTCCAGGGGAATCCAACACCCTCTTCTGACCTCCGCAGTATTGCACAACACGGGTGCACTCATACATGCAGACAATACACACACATAAAAATAATAAAATACATTTTTAAAAAATAGCAATGAATGGTTAAAAATGGGTTTAATGTTCTAGATAATTATGTGCTTTTGTTAGGTGTTTTCCCAACTTCCCTAAAGGTAAGAGGCATATAGGACTGTGTTAATAATATCATTTCTTTGGCCCTACTCTAAATCACCTTGGAACATTTCATCTCAAGAAAGGGTACAGAATCAATTTAACCAACATCCCAGGAAAGTCTAACTATGGGATAAATTTGGGGAAGGATCTGTCTTTATTCAGTGCTTAGCTAGGTAACACGAGAGACAAATTTTAAATAGGTGTTCTCTCAAACACTAGCTAGTTTTATCACAATCTTAGCACTGTAAAACTTTGCCATTTATCTTGACAATCCCCGGTCGGTACTAACATTAAACAGTTATCTGCTGCTTCACGTGCATTGACTCAGACACTGAACAGTCTGGCAATAGGACAGTTTTCCTCAATCATGAAATGCGAACAATATTTTCACATCTATGGATTTCAAACAGGATTCTATGATAGCAGTTTCAGGAATACAGTTAATGAGCTAGTCGTTCTGTCCATGTCTATCTGCAGGAAATTTTAACAGGAGGAAAAGGAAAAAAAATCTGAAAGCTTAGTTAATAAATGTAACTGTGAATATAATTTAATCCCATTTCAAAAACTTGTCCAGAAATATAAAACTCATTGTTCTTTGATCTATCATAATTTTTAGTTCAAATTTTAACCATCATCTGAATAGCTCTTGTATTTTTATGGCTTCCAAATAACTAGTACATTTAGCATTTACTTGATGACTTAAAATTGCATGAGGAGTTTTGGAACACCTTGTTAAAAAGCTCTAAATTGCTTTCAATCACATAAAAACATACGGCCTTTATTTTCAAATTGTGCACTTTATTTTAAAGTCGTTATGGAACCCTTTGGCACATTCCCTTAAAAAATGATTTAGTACTGTATTTTCCCATGCATTATATTACAGAATGGTTCTTTAGAAACAAATGGCAAAATGGAAATTGGGGTACACATTGCTCAAGAGGAACAACAATTTAGAAAGGAATGGGGAAAAGGAAGGTTGAACAGAAAAAGTACACAGCAGATTTGACTCAGACATGGCCACTTTTGGAGGAAGCTCTGGGGTAAATATTGCCAGAATTGAGGCTTATTATCCTGGAATGGTCAGCTCTGTTTTTCTTTAGCTCTTAGCTCCCAGATCACAAAGTCACAAGAAGTAAGGAGATAGGGTCAGAATTGTGAGTCTACAAACAATATTTTAGAGATAATCTAAAAGCCAGATTAACTTTTGGCATCAGTAAAATGTAAGAGTTTACTGAATATATTTTAAAGGGGCTCAGGTGAATATTGGACTGATTTATAGAAACCCATTATCAAATGCAAAACTCTTCAAATGTGGGGCTGGAGAGATGGCTCCAGGAGAGAGTGTGAGAGTGTCTGCTGCTATTGAAGAGGACCAGAGTTCCATTCACAGCACCTATGTCAGGCAGCTCACAATCACCTCTAACTCCAACCCTGAGGATCCAAGGCCCTCTTCTGGCCTCCACAGGCACTGCACTCATGTATACACCCATACACAAATGCTCACATACATATATAATTAATGCTGGGCGTGGTGGTGCACACCTTTAATCCCAGCACTCAGGAGGCAGAGGCAGGTGGATCTCTGTGAGTTCAAGGCCAGCCTGGTCTACATAGTGAATTCCAGGACAGCTGGAGCTACAGGGAGACCCTGTCTCAAAAAGACCAAAATAAATAAATAAATAAATAAATAAAATCCTTAAAAAAAACCCTCCAAATGTTAACTACACAATAAGATACATTTGTTTATATTTGAATCATGTGATTGTTAGTCAAAGCATTAAATTTTAAAATAAAATGGAATAAACACCATTTCAGATATGTTTCTTTCTGGTAGTAGCACCTATGGTATTAATATTTTGATTAAACTGCTGCTAAGTAATCTCTGAGCATTCACTCATATTCTTTTATGATGCTTAGGAGAATTTTAAATTGCAATCAAATAAATCTCTGCTATGTAGAGTTCCTTAAGTAAGAACTAACACAATTACAAGTGTGCCCTGGCTGCTGCTTTGCCCTTTGAAGTGTCACACGCGCCCCAAAGGAAATTCTGCATGAACTGCATTGCCTGTGTACTAAGTCATATGTCACGGTGTAGTGACCATAGTTCAAGCCTAAAGGGCTTGGGGACCCTGACAGATAGAAATCAGGACACAGGGGATGCAGAGGTTTATGTGCCAGTGCATCTTTATTGTGAACCAAACCAAACTTATATAGGAATCAGATCTGGAGTAACCATGGAATAACTAAGGATACATCACTAAACAGAAAGTAACCAAGGAATAACCAAGGATACATTACATTATTACCAAGAATACATTACTTCACCAACCGAAACTCACATGACATTTACAGTATCCAAGATTTCATTTGATTTTAGATTAATAGTTAGATTTTAGGCTACATAATATTTATAATATCTTAGCTATAAGGTGTACTGTTTGTGATTACTCTTAGCAACTACTAGAATTCATTATTTCTCTATAGAAACCAAGCTAACGGTGCTGAGAAACTCCGGTGCCCATAAACGGAAACAGAACTCTTTAGTTATGTTTCAAAGACTGCCAATTAATCAGGGAAGCGTAGCCTGTCAACTCAGACCACAGAAGCAGAGAGCAGGGAAACTCCCAAGGTGGAAGCATTCTTTCTCCAATGCTTAAGTCAAGGCAAGCTGCCACTGCCTAATGCAGCAATGGCTGTGCCCATAATAATAGTAGCTCCCAACAGTCATACTTATTCCAAATTCAGTGACAATCTACTTGAGCTTTTCAGACTAATTTATAAATCAGTTATAATTTATTAGATGTAGAAAATGACCTGTAACTGGGTATGGTGTCACAGGCCTGTTGTTTGGGAGATACTGGTAGGAAGACCAAGAGTTCAAGGTTAGACTCAGCTACATGGGTAGTTCAAGGATTGCCTAGACTGCCTAAGACTGGAGGGTCTGTTGGGGAATAGAGGAAGGATGAAAGGGAGAGATAAAAGAAAAATTACCTGTGTGGTAAGCAAGAATCATCAGTACCATATTACTTTTCAAATTTTTCTTTAATGAGGGGTTGGAGAGATGGCTCAAGGATTAAGAACACATACTGTTTTTGCAGAGGACCCAAGTTTGGGTCCCCAAACGTACACTGGGTGCCTCTTACTCTAGCTCCAGCTCCTGTGCCCTCTTCCAGCCTCCACAGGCACTGCACTCATGGACAAACCCACACTCATACACATAGATAAAAATGAAGTCTTTTTAAAAATATTTTATTTATTATTTTTATGTGTATCTGTGTATTGCCTGCATGTAGGTAAGCCCACCTGTGTTATGCAATGCCCGCGGAGGACAGAAG